TTTTTACCCACTTTAGCATTGAAATCCCCAACCACAATTACTCTCACACTGGTATACTGGTATACTCAGTAAAATAATTCGTCTATAATTTTTCAATCTCTTTTGTCCCCTTCCCTTTATATAAAGGAATTATACATGCTCTCTGCCAATCCCTAGGTACCTTCCCCTCTTTCATACATTTATTAAACAAAAATACCAACCACTCTAACACTATATCCCCCCCTGCATTTTACATTTCTGTCATGATCCCGTCAGTTCCAGCTGCTTTACCCCCTTTCATTCTACATAATGCCTCATGCACCTCCCCCACACTCACATCCTGTTCTTCCTCACTCCTAAAAGATGGTATATCTCCCTGGCCAATGCATAAAATTACTGCCTCTCTTTCTTCATCGACATTTAAAAGTTCCTCAAATATATTCCCGCCATCTACCCAATACCTCCATCTCCCCATCTACTAACTCCCCTACTCTGTAACTGACAAATCCATTCGTTCCCTAGGCTTTCTTAACTTGTTTAACTCCAAATTTTTTTCTTAATTTTCATTAAAATTTCTTGACAGTGCCTCTCCCACTCTGTCATCTGCTCTCCTTTTGCACTCTCTCAGCACTCTCTTCACCTTTCTTTTACTTTCCATATTACTCTGCTCTTCTTATAACACTTCTGCTTTGTAAAAACCTTTCATAAGCTACCTTTTTCTCTTTTATCACACCCTTTACTTCATCATTCCACCAATCACTCCTCTTTCCTCCTGCACCCACCCTCCTATAACCACAAACTTCTGCCCCACATTCTAACACTGCATTTTTAAAACTATTCCAACCATCTTCAACCCCCCCTCCAATTCTCATACTTGCACCAGCCCACCTATCTGCCAATAGTTGCTCATATCTCACCCGAACTTCCTCCTTCCTAAGTTTAAACACTTCCACCTCTCTCTTACTTCTTGTAAAGTAAAAGGACACAAGTGCAACTATACCCTGTGGAGGCTGTGACAAGATCTACGTAGGTGAAACAGCAAGAAACCTCGACACCCGCCTCAATGAACACATATACGCATGTAGGAACGACAACTTAAACAACGCCTGTGTACAACACCGAAATTCCACCAATCATCTTATGAAATTCAGAGACGCCCAATTAGTGATAAAAGAAACTAATTTCCGCACACGCAAGTGCCTTGAATCAGCACTGATCGCTGTTTCGAATACAATTAAACAAAACAACGGCAGCTTCACTATCTCCGAAGTCTTAGCAAGAATCCTCCTGAAAACAGTAAACCCTGCCATCACATAGTCTCTCCTGTTATACTACACAAAGCACAGAGAGTGAACACTGAAACAAGCTGCCTCATTCCAGTTTATATTTGTCCAACCTATTTTTATGTTACCCAAGTAATAGCTTTTATATCCTTTTACTCATGTACGAATTAATTGCTCTACCATATTGTATTACTTTTGTCACTACCACTACTACTACTACTACTACTACCACTAGTGAACATCGAAATGGTACCTCACTAGTATTCACCTCACTCTGAGCCTATATATACCCTCTGTGTCCATGTATTGTTTGTAATGGCTTGATAAAGCTCCTGGAGAGCAAAACGTTGCCACAATAAATGTCACATTAGTTGCACTTGTGTCCTTTTACTTTACATATTGTCGGTAATTCTACCAACTTTATTACACTCTTACTTCTTGTTGCCATTTTCCTCTTGTCCCATCTACCTCTAACTGTAGCTACAACTAAATAATGATCCGACATATCAGTTGCCCCTCTATAAACATGTACATCCTGGAGCCTACCCATCAACCTTTTATCTACCAATACATAATCTAACTACTTTCATTATGTGCTATATCATACCCTATATATTTATTTATCCTCTTTTTCATAAAATATGTATTACTTATTACCAAACCTTTTTCTACACATAGCTCAATTAAAGGCTCCCCATTTTCATTTATCTCTAGCACCCCAAATTTACCTACTACTCCCTCCACAACATTTTTACTCACTTTAGCATTGAAATCCCTAACCACAAGTACTCTCACACTTGGTTCAAAACTCCCCATGCATTCATTCAACATTTCCCAAAATCTCTCTCTCTCTCCTTTACACTCCTCTCTTCTCCAGGTGCATATACACTTACTATAACCCATTTTTCACATCCAGCCTTTATTTTACTCCACATAATCCTTGAAGTAATACATTTATACTCCATCTTTTCCTGCCATAGCTTAGCCTTCAACATTATCACTACTCCTTCTTTAGCTCTAACTCTATTTGAAACCCCTGACCTAATCCCATTTATTTCCCTCCACTGAAACTCTCCCACCCCCTTCATCTTTGTTTCACTTAAAGCCAGGACATCCAGCTTCTTCTCATTCATAACATCCACAATCATCTCTTTCTTATCATTCGCACAACATCCACGCACATTCAGACATCCCACTTTGACAGTTTTCTTATTCTTTTTAGTAATTATTACAGGAAAAGGGGTTACTAGCCCACTGTGCCTGGCATTTTAGTTGACTTTTACAACACGCATGGCTTAAAGAGGAAAGATTCTTATTCCACTTCCCCAGGGACAAAAAAGGAAAAGTACACCTACCATCCGACTTACGACCTGCTCGACTTACGACCGTGTTTTTTATGCCAAATTTCTGGGAAATAAACAACTATTTGTGTTGTAAACATTGTTTATCCTAAACCTTACAGTATAAAATACAGTACTAACAACATAAAAAGTAAAGTAAAACATGAAATACCAAAATAAAACAATATTCAGTAGTAAAGTTCGACTTACGACCATTTCGACTTACGACCGGTTTCTCGGAACCGAACTTGATCGTAAGTCGGATGGTAGGTGTATTAAGAACAAGAACTATTAAGATAAAATCAAAGAAAATTCAGATGAGTGTGTATAAATAAACATCTACATGTATGTATAGTGTGACCTAATTGTAAGTAGAAGTAGCAAGACGTACCTGTAATCTTGCATATTTATGAGACAGACAAAAGACACCAGCAATCCTACCATCATGTAAAACAATTGCAGGCTTTTGTTTTATATTCACTTGGCAGGACGGTAGTAGCTCCCTGGGTGGTTGCTGTCTACCAACTTACTACCATTATAAATGGTGCAAAGGTGACATTACAACAATATCTAAGATGGTTGACACAAACCCACTACCATTATAATATGCTCCTTGCTTAGCAATGAATTCATTTACTGATGTGGTCTTAGGAACAGAACTCCATCATTAGGTGAGGAGAGGCTGTACTAATAATACTACAAGGTCTAATGCTTCGATTAATTTCTTAAGCTATGAGGTGTATATCCTCGAATGGAAATATTAAGTGTGAAAAATGCATCAGCATATATTCAAAGCCTTACCGAATCTTTGAGAACATGTTCACAGTAATGATGGTGCTGCAGTTAAATTTATCATGAAGGTAAAAATGTTAGCGTGCAATGTTTTCAGACTTTTTTTTTTCCTCTCACCATTGAATTTATGGAGTAACAGTCATAACATGTTTCAGCTCTTTCAGAGCCGGCCATTTCTAAGGCACACCGTCTCCCCCTCAGGATGTGACCAACAGCATTCAGTTGGCCACATTGTGTTCCTATTTACTACTAGTTGAACAAGGACAGCACGTGTAATGTAAGGACACATTCCAACACCTCCATCTACCCAAGGATCGAACTGGGGTATTTTAATTGTGAATCACTGAGCCACTTCTTATTAGTAGATTTTTCTTAATTTGGGTTTGTGAATCTTATTTCTGCCAAACACTTCGAGCTATACTCTCAGGCCTTTTAAAGTAACACACCTTGAAATTGGTGAAGGGTTCTTAATTAAGGAATTGGAGCTCGGACTATTAATCAAAACTAAGTGCTAAACCCACCAGGGTCAACTGGAGCTCGGAGCTCCCTCCCCCTTACATCAATTCTGGTTCCTATTTCCCAGATACTGTATGAGTTATTGGATTACTCCTTCCACATAATTTTACTAATAGTAACTGGTTCATGGATATCTGAACTGTGACTTCAGCACACTTCTCGCAAAGCAGTAATTGAATGAATGATGGTGAACGTTTCCTATTTTCTTATTTTTTGGACGGGGTGGGGGAGTCACACTATGGTAGGAGATGGCTCGTGTGTGTGTACTCCCCTAATTGTGGCTGCAGGGGATCGATTCACAGTTCCTGGCCCCGCATCTTCACTGGATATGTGTGTGTACACGTACGTATATACTCACCTATTTGTGGTTGCAGGGGTAGAATTGTAGCTTGTGCACATGCCCTTTCCCCTTTCTCACCTCTCAAATAACCTATCCCTGTCTACCTTATTAATTCCCAAGTACTTTGTATGTTATAGTCTCCTCCCTGATTCTTCTGTCCTCCAATGTCATTAGGTCCAGTTCCATTAGTTTCTCTTTCTAGATCATGTCTCTTAGCTCAGGAACAAGCCTTGTTACATACTTCTGCACTTTCAAAGCCTTGTTGCACACTTCTGCACTTTCTCCAGTTTCTTAACATGCTTTTTTTCAAATACAGATTCCATACTTGTGCCACATACTCCAAGATGGGCATAATGTATTCATATGTGGGCATGTGTACTTGCTTGTATGTGGTTGCAGGGGATCGTGTCTCATCTCCTGGCCTTCTCTCTCAACTTGCCGCCTCTTTTCATAGCTCATAACCCTTAGCTCTAGAACCAACCTAGTTGCATACTTCTGCATTTTCTCCTCAAATATGGGCTGCATACAGGTGCTGTGTACTCCAAGATGGTGTGACGTGTTGTATAAAGCACCCGGAATAACTCTTTTGTTGAGATTCCTGAAGGCCACTCTTAAATTTGACAGGCAAGCACTATTTTATTAAGCTCAAACTTCTTACTAACAGTTTAAAACTACAGTTTTTTTTTTTTTTTATAAAAAATAAAAATTAGTTGATGTTTATACACTATCAGAAGGATACTCAGAAAATAGTAATTTTTTTAGTTTTATTAATAATCTTATATAAATCTGTTTTAGCACATCTAAAACTGGTTGAAGTTTGGCTATCTTAACAAAGAATAGAGTGTTTGTTGTATAAACAGACAGCAGTAAGGCATTGTCTACACGTCTTGAAATCTTCAGTCTAGTTCTTGCACTTTCATTCATCAAAATGCTTTTTGTTTTTGTTTTTTTTTTGTTTATAATTTTGACAATATTTGTGGTCTAAATGTTCACGCTGTGACTGTTATGGGTAAAATCTCATTTCCATCATACTATATATCACTTTAAATGAAAATAACATCAACAATGAAAAAACTGATGGGATAAAAATATTTGATCGTAGTGGTACAGTAATACCAGGCATCATTTCCTATATACTGTACTTATAAATAGGAAAAGGCTGTTTGAAATGACACACCAAATCAGAACTGCTCGTTTTGGTAAATTTTCAAATAAGAGAAATGCAGATTTATAATGGCACAATGATATACCTCTCATTTGGAATGGAAAATTTTAAGAGCTGGTGTTGTCATCCAACAGGACTGCTTGTTGAGCACAAGAACTTACAAAAATAACATAATAAGATGTGGATGAATATATTAAGAGTCTACTGAGCCAGTATATTTTGTGCTATATTACTCACATCTTAAATTAATGAACTAGTTAAAAATCTCTTTTGAAATTACGAAGTGACAAATATTTATGAATGCTCATTTTGTCCACATCTTATTAAATTTGATTTGCTACCTGTTCTTGAGATCAATTAACCATCTCTTTTTTTTCTAATGTTGAGAATGGTTACTGATCTATTTATGCACAAATGAAAAACTAATTTTGTATGTACCAATGGTTAACGAATTTAGTACCTGGAATTAGGTTACTCTGATTAAAATTTACAATGATTTTTCTTTTAAATTTGTTATGTAATACAGCATTACAATATGAATGCCATACATACCTGACAATTTGAGCAATCTTATAGACAGTTGACATCAACCTTATAATGCTTACAATGCTCAAGAGCTCATGGTTTTTGTACACTATGACCATAAACATAATAAATGGATTAATGAATACATCATAGCTTGTGCTGAACATTATTTCTGCACTTTTAAAAATAAAAATAAAAAAATAGGCCAATCACACTGAAAAGAATAATTATTATTCACAATAACAATTCATTTCATAACACTTAAGTGATGGTGGTTATTTCTCAAGGAATTTCTTTTACTGTGTTTCTCTTTTAGAGAAATGTGTTTCATTAATGTTCATGGCTGATTTAGACACTTGCAATATCCATATTTGTCTTCAACACACAAATGTGACTGGCAGCTGAATACACCTCTAAGGGGAGACAGGCACTGATTATCGAGATGGTCATCAATACTTTTGTATCAGACATCTTTGGCTGGGGAGGTAACGTATCTATTGTTTCTTTTTTTTTTTTTTCAATTGGCTTTTCAGTATCACTCTTGATATGCAGATTCCTTAAAGTGCTTCTTTCCCCTAGTAATCCCTATATTCACTTTCACAAACAAAGCACGGACATTCATCACACACACATGCCGATACTGTCTCACAAACTAGAGTACATACATGAGGAAATTGTTTAACAATATCCTTCAATTCTGTCTACTTTGCCTGAGGAAAGTTTTTTCGAGTCCACAGCTCAGTTAAGGGGAGGGGGGCAGGGGAAAAATTAACACTAGAGAAGACAAAAAAAAAAAAAAAAGTCTCCTCATGAAGAAATCAATGCATCTCCTCTCACTTAATGCATTAAAAAAAATATATATGAAAAAAATTAAGGCTACCACTATATCACATCACAGATGAAGAGTGCTGGGTTTTGTTCCCGGAGGCTTTAGTCCTGTGGTGACCTTAGCTCTTACCAGTGACAGCCAGTACCAGTGACTTTGCCAGTACCAAGTGACTTGGCAAGTACCAGCATCTGCAGTCAGCACTATCGACTTGGTCAGTACACATAGTGATTTGGCCATCATCACAGTAACTTAGCCAGTATCAGAGCAACTTAGCCAGTACCAAAGTAATTCTGCACGAACCACACTGGCTTAGACCTGGCCAGCACCAGTGACTTAGCCAATACCAGTGACTTTGCCAATACCAGTGACTTAGCCAGTACTAGTGACTTAGCCAGTACCAGTGACTTAGCCAGTACCAGCAGCTAAGCCAGTACCACAGTGACTTGGCAGTACCCAGCAACTTTGCCAGTACCACAGTGATTTGGCAGTACACAGAGGCTTAAGTCAGTACCAGAATGACTTAGCCAGTAACTGAACCATTATCACAAGTGACTTAGCTAATCCTGTTGGGACCTTGTCCCACACTGCTTTCAGCTAAACCCACCGTGGCCATGGCTAGTCACTATCTGACCCCACTTGGTTATTCTTTTTCCGCTTTCTGGATGGCTTCTTGACATCTTCCTCCTAAAATGTGAAAAATAAAAAAATTACTGAAAGTAACTGTCTGTAAATCCATACACAAGTACATTAATGTAAGTCTTAAATAATTTAACTTCTGGTAGATCTATAATTGTATGAGTTTGAAGTACTGTACACAATCTACAGCAGTATATTATAATATACAGTATTTTAACTTGGCATATCCACATACATTTGTACCAAAATCCTAGCAAATACAGATACTACTCCAATTTTACTCCTGTAGAATTTTATTTAAAACCCTGTAGTTACTTTTCTCAAGTTTACTTATCATAAAAAATGGGGCAGTCCTCCTAATAAGACATGATACAGTACAAGTAGTACATGTATATCTATACACTTACTACACCAGTTCATCATGCTAGTGCAATATTTACGATAAATGCTTTGGCATTATGTATTATGTGGTGACAGGCCCTAAATGAAATCAACAGGTTTGTGTGAAATGTGTGGAAAAATAGAGTGCAAAGGTGTACCACAGATTCAGAGACCAATTTAGTCTATGAAATTTAGATGGAACACAGTAGGGCCCCGCTTTACAGCGTTCCACTAATACAGCGATTTCAAATTATGACCAAAACTTGCTATATGACTCCCCGTCTTTCTAATACGGCGTGCCCCACCTGGTTTGTTTACATTCTCTATAAGCACAACTCTATTATGTCTGGAAATTTTCCAGAATTTCAAGTGTTTTAAAGTTTTTGCATATTTTATATGTACTCTGATAATTATACTTATGTGTACCTGTAATTAAATATACTTACACACTGTGCTGGTGTGCAGGTACACATTAAAATCACTAAGAATCTCTCTACTCAACACCATATAATCTCTTGGGCGCATTAAATGCCGTATATTAGTTAATATAGACATCTCCACTAATCCATCTATGATTTTTTTTTCAAAATTATATAATATACACACTACATAACACATAAACATGATATAAAATGACATAAATATGAGATATGTTTACCAAGCGGTTGGTAGGAGTCAGAAGAATTACGTTTTCTTTAGTCAAACACCAGTATCGTAACTAGAAATTTATTCCTTTCGTGTGCCTTCACTCTATCATTAGCTATTCATGATCCTTGTGGGCTTAGCACTTCTTTTTTATGATTATAATAATAATCTGTAATAATAATAACTTGTAATAATAATTTGTAGTAATAATAATTTGTAGTAATAATAATTTGTAATAACAATAATAATTTGTCAGAGCATCATTCCTTCTAAAAATTACATGAGAATGGAAGTGTTGGGCTTTATTTATTCTACAGTATCAATGTGGAGACAACTTGTACAAAATGTAAAGTGTTTGTTATTTTATTTATTTATTTTATTATCACACTGGCCGATTCCCACCAAGGCAGGGTGGGTGGGGTGGGCGGGGAGGGCTACCATACTTCCCAAACCTGACTTCCCACAAATAAAACTCACCTCTCACCCTACATTAAGACTACAAATATTTTAAGGTAATTAATTAATGTACTGTATATGTATTTTATCACACTGGGGCACTTTAATTTAATGTCGTAGTATATTACATGTGAGTGGGGTGGGGTGGGCTGACCTGGCTGGCTACCATACCTCCCAAACCTGACTTCCTACAAATAAAACACACCTCTCACCCTACATTAAGACTACAAATATTTTAAGGTAAGTAATGGGTGTACTGTGTGTGTATTATACTTTTTATTGTTTTTAATGCCTAGTTCTATTGCTAACTTAATATATGTTAGTGTAAACTTGTTATCTGGCATTTATATGCATTTGTAAGTGGAAAAAATGGCGTTCTGCTTTCCGGCGATGCCTGCTTTCCAGCGATGCCTGCTTTCCAGCGTTGTCTGCTTTCCGGCAGTAGCCTGGAACCTAACCTGCCATATAAGTGGGGCTCTACTATATTGCATATTTATATGTATGTACTCTGATAATTATACTTATGTGTACCTGTACCTAAATATACTTAAACACTATGCTGGCATGCAGGTACACATTAAAATCACTAAGAGTGTCCCTCTAGTCTAAATGCCATAGTAATACTACGTAATAATAATCACTCTTGGGCACATTAAATGCCTTATATAACGTTTATATAGACATTTTCATTAATCCATCTATATTTTCTTCAAAATTATGTAAGAAACACGTTACATAGCATATAAACATGATACATACACCCACACGTACAATAAATTTCACTATTATTATTATTATTATAGGTGTGGTAGCCAGGCAGAGGGACAAACATTATATTTTCTTTGGTCCAGCACCAGAGAAAACGTGTATGAATCTGCATTTGGCCCAGTCACTCCCCTTAACACATTCCGTTTTATTTACAATTCTCGGCATGAATTATTACTTCTCCCTTCGTTTATGATGGAATCTAAAGGTACTGTAGTTGTTAGAAACGATTAAACTCAGCGAACAAGGTATGTCGATGGTAATAACGTGGCTCTGGGCTGCATTAAATATCATATAGCTATGTAGGTAGGTGCAGCTATGTAGCCAGGCTACCTACACCTGACTTCCTACAAATAAGTACTACTCACTTCTCGCCCTACATTAAGACTACAAATATTTTAAGGTAAATAATGAATGTACTGTGCATGTATTTTACTTTTTATTGTGTTTTTAATGTCTAGTTCTATTAATAACTTAATATAAGTTAGTGTAAACTTGTTGTCTGGCATTTATATGCATTTATAAATGGAAAAAAATGGTGTTCTGATTTCCGGTAGTAGCCTGGAACCTAACCTGCCGTATAAGTGGGGTCCTACTGTACTCTACTATACATTATAGGGTAGCTTCAAAGTGAAAAGAAGCACTGAATATGGAGAGCACAAGTATAAACAAAAGTTTGTTTACTAATATTTGTTGGCATATTAGGATGCATAGCAATTAGTGTAGTCAAACAGACTTTTTTTTATACAGTAATTGTGGCATGCAAAGAGTATGTTACAATTTATTCTGGAAATGGGAAGTACAATGCCTGCACTTTAAAGGAGGGGTTTTGGATATTAGCAGTTTGGAGGGATGTGTAATAGGAATATATATAATTGGAGCCCTGATATTATATTCTCTATGGTGAATAGTATAGTTTATTATATTATTTCAGGTCACTTTTTATATTGTATCTTTATATATGCTTCTAAGCTGTTGTATCTGGGTGCCTCTGCAAAAACAATGATTATGAGTGAGGTGAAAGTGTTAAATGATGATGAAAGTATTTTTGTTTTGGGGATTTTCTTTCTTTCTGGGTCACCCTGCCTCAATGGGAGACGACCAACTTGTTGAGAGAAAAAAAAAAAAAGTCACATTCCCATATAGGCTGCCTCCCAACCAGCAAACCAGGTGCTAAGGGTTTAACAATCAATAGGGATGCCCATCATTCAATCAATATCTTGGTTCATTCACCAATCACAGGCAAGCCCGCCAAAGCTGAAGCAATGTGGTTCACTTGCAATAAGCATTGGCAAACTTGCCTACCTGCTCGATGAGTACAGTGCATTCTCTCTGGCTTCTACTTTGTCATGTGTCACCATGGTGCACACTTATTATTCTATCTGTACGTATTGTACATAGTGTACATATCTGTATAGTTGGTGAAGGCAAAATATACATTATAGTCTACTGCTGAGTTTGTTTGCTCCAATTCCCATTACAACCAGGTCTCACAGGCCATTCTTTACCTGTGTTCATAATAGTAATTAGATTTCTTCAAAAATTTAAACTTATGAATTGATAGATACAATAGGTGCTGTCTGGACAGTAAAGTAGCTAACTATATATACATAAAGCCAAACCAACTACCTACACAAAAGATGTATGAAAAGAAACACACCTGTTAAATGTTACATGAAAAAAAAAAAGGCAAGAAAAGGGTAAATGATATGTTAAACTGAACTCCATCATGGTTTTAGAAGCTCCATTCACATCTGTTTTCAGCATGCTTGGTCCCTTACGTCCAACCCATTCTTCTCTCCAATCATGGCAACTCAAGAGCTTTCCAGAGAGTGCATTTATATCTACACAAAAAGCATAATAAATCCAAACATTGAAATATCAGCTAAAACAATTCAAGTAAATCAGTAACAACAAATATTTAGAAGTTTTTAGCACACTGACCATCTTGTACCTAGGTAGGGTGACCCCCAAAAAAAGGAAACACATTCATCATCACTCAGCCAAATAGCAGTTTTGCCAGAAGTAATAAATTCAAATGACCCTCTAAACCGCAGGCTCTGTACTTCCCACGTCAAGGACAAGTCCGGCTAACTGGTTCTCTGGAATCTCTTTATAAATGTTACCTTTCTCACACTCCAACAGAATATAAAATATAATACAGTAATGTAATTATTCACCACAAAAATAATATATATGCCATTTTATGAATGCACCAGTTTATTATACCAATTTTGCAGTGCTTGTCATTAGACAGTTTTGTGTCTGTGGTCCCATGCACCGTGTAGCCTTGAGGGCCAAGTTTGTTGGACATTTTTGGCTGGTGATGAATTAACATGGGTAGGATTAAATTGCTGACACAAGAGACAATTGCACAAACCACTGGATTACATAAGGCAGGCCATCAAACAAAGGAAATAATAGAAACTATCGATGTATGTGAGCACTCAGTGAACACCTAATTGAGTCACTTCCTTAAGAACAGCACTGATGACATGACTACACCAACAGCATGTCTAGAGAAGCCTAGAAAAATATCCCCACTAATGTAATTGTAATATTTAGAATTGCTTTGTGGTTACTTCCTCGAATCTTTCACACAGTGTGGTGCAATGATTTTAATGCAGAAAAGTGCTCCTCTCCACAATGTGAAATCTGTTGCTCAATGGTTTCATGACTGTGAAGAACCCTTCTTTAATGGTAGGGCAGGAAATTCTCTAGCCTTGAACCCCAGTGAGGGATGTGATAGAGAGAGATCTAGGGAAAGAGTATCAGCCCACTCCTATGGCTGGAGGACACCA